AACACAGCCCGCCCCGGGCGGCCATTAGAGGGGCGCCCCCCCCCGCTCTTGCACGCGCGCTCCCGCGCCGGCCCCGCTCACCGTCGTAATAATAGCAGACTTTCTTCTTGCCGCCGCCCTGACTGTACGCCATAGGGCTGCCGCGTCGGGGCCGTGGGCAGGGAGCGGGAAGCCGAGGAGAGCGCGGAGCCGGCTCGGAGGGTGGGAAGGAGGGGGCGGGAAAGCGGGAACTCGCGGCGCCGGGACCGCCAGCAGCGGGAGCGGGCCGGACTCTCGGCAGCGGGAGGGGCAGCTAGCGGGACGCGCCCAATTCGCCGCTGACAGAGGGAGGAGAGGGAAAGAAGGAAGAGGAGAGGGCGCACGCGAGCGGACGTGGACTCCCGCCGCCTTCTCCGTGAAAGTTTTCCTTAGTTATACACAAAAGTCAGGGAAGAAACCAGTGAAGATTCTTCATAAGCAAATTCTTGGGGAAAACTATTTTCTGTCCCACCCCCACGGCGCGCAGTGGTACGATCCGCCGCGGGTGTCGGCGATCGTCGGGGACCCCGCCCCTCAGCGGAGCTGTGTGGCGCATGCGCGGGGTGTCCCAGGGTGGCTGCGGCGGGAGCGGGCGAGGGGAGTGCCGCGCTTGGGGCGCAGGGGGCCCGGCCCTGCCCAGCGCCAGGGTCGCGGCCAAGCCCCTCAGCCGCTCCCGCACCGCCCCTGCACCGCCCGGGGCCGCGGCCGAGCCCCTCAGCCGCCCCCACACCGCCCGGGGCCGCGGGGGCCTCGTCCCCAACCGCGCAGCGCTTTCCGCCGCGCTGGGGCCCGAACTTCATCCTCATCAGGGCGTCTGCAGATGCTCGGCCGGCTGGGTTGTCGCGTTTTGTCTCCTCCCCTACTGAAAGTCTACTCTTTTCCACAACAAAACTGGCTTCTGTTTTGTTTGGGCTTTTTTGAGTGCTCCTGTCTGTTAGTACTTTGTCCTAGTGGCAAGCGTTGCATCTCTGTATTCCTGTTCTAGAGGAAGTTCAAAGCATGCTTCACGGTAACACATAGCAATTCTCCCCCCCAAAAAAATCAAGGCATGTTGCACAAGAAGAATTTAACATCTGAATCATTTTTCCTCGAGATCTATCAGCTGTTTTCTCTCCTTGCCTCGGCTCAGGGACAAACTCAGGAAGGAGAAACGTGATGGCATTCATGCTTAGTTTGCTTGTAATTCTATTTATACAGGGGTTCACTTGTGACGCCTGATAAGCTGAGTCTGGGGGTACACATCAGTTACACTAAAGTTTACTGTTTCTTCAGCTGCCCCCAAAGGCCTATATTTATGGACTTTACACTCATCCAAGTCTTGACCAAGGTTTGTTGATTTGCTGGAGCCTCTAAAAGTAACTAAAACCCCTGGTTATTGCCACATGTACTTCTCTATTTGAAAACAAGGCAACAAGTATAACCTATGTCACACAACAAAACCAATACATGCCTGAACACAGGTTTGGTCTTTGTTCCCAGGATTAGATTGCTTTTGCCCCTAGAAGAACCTCACAGGGGTCTGGGTCCTTGTAATGGATAAAAAAAAAAAATCATTTTATATTGTTAGAGACAGACAACTAAATAAGTTTGTTAAGCACATGCATGCACAAACACCTTTAGGATAATCCTGGATTCCACCCCCCATCCTTCACCTTTTAACTAAGGGATATTATGTTACAATGTCATCAGGTGGTATAGCATTTTTAAAGAGCTTTTTTCATATTCCATTTGGAAATTTTTCTCTTAGAAATAACATACAAAATTGATTCCTACATCTGATAATACAGCTGATGTTTGTTTCTTGGTGTGAAGTCCAGCAAAATACCTGCATTACACTATAAGAGGCACAATATTATCCTGATAAATTCCTTTTTTATCTCGGCCTTCTTAGTGCTGTCACTACTTGAATAGACTTAGATTGGACTCTAGAAGCTCCACGATTTTGTATTGGCTAACCACTGCATTATATGCTTCTTTGACCACTAAAATTCAATGTGTTTATGAAATTACTCAACATTTTGTAGTTGTCTGATAAATTTTTCTATCAAAACAGTAAAGCAACATATCAGCTAGTTCAATATCAGGAATACTTTTATTGCACCACATAGGGAATTCAATAAAAGCAGTGATGTATTGTTAAAGTTCTTATTAGGAACTTCATGTGAAGAAAAAAAGCTCATAATTTCAATTAGTTTCAAATGGATACTCAATCTCATATAGGAATAACTTATTTTGGTTTAAATGGCCTAAATCAAGAGAGGCTATGTTGCTTTCTGGGCAAAAATGACTATTCACAGTCTTCTAACATCTGAATTTAGGCAAGTGCAGCTCTTATTTAGAGAAACTCCTTGAATACCAACTCATACCTGAATTGAGAAAGTGTCAATAAGCATATAAAGTTATCCTTTAGTCAAAGGGGTAAGAATTCATTCACTGGATTCACAGTAGCTCAGTATGACAGTAAGGACACTATTACATTTAAAGGTCAGTAAAGCTTAAATATCAAGTTTCACGGGTTGTGTATACGAGGGTGATTTCCTAGACCAGTCCCGCTTCTAGAAATGCAGGTTTTGCAGATGTCTTCAAAGCTGCTTGTTAAGAGAACAGCATGCTACACAAAAGCTAATGATATAGAGGAAACTTCGGAGTGTCACTTGCCAGGGTAAACAGACATGCACACCACCCAGCTGAGGCCCGGGCCCCTTGGAAAACTGAATAGACCAGATAACAAAGTATCACTGCTGTTACTTTTACTACATTGCAACATGCAGACACTTTATAACCTAATGATGATTTTTTTTTTTTTTTAACCTTCCTGTAATAGCTTGTTTCTGTTACTGGGTGAATGCTAGCGTTATTTCACTCTTTCCCTGCATCACTATATTAACATTAGCTTGTTATTTCACACTGAATTTATGTTATGCCTTAGATAGTAGGGGATTTTTTGGGAAGGGACATAAAAAGCAGCAATAAGGATCTTTTAAACAGAAGAGGAACTTCCATCTTCAACATATACATCCAACATTGCAATATAAAGTATGATTGTTTCTTACATATTTATCCTAAATTACATCTACTGTAAAAACTCACAAAACGATGAAGCAAATAACGGACAAGAAGTTCTCTATAAGTAACAGTTTATCCCTTTACTGTTCTTATCAAAAAGCAATCTATAATTCTCAAATCCCTTCACTCTCCCTACCCCCACTCAACTAAAGGTATTTTTAAAACAGAGCTTAAATGGAGGATCTGGAGCACCTAATTTTTTCTCTTAACTGCTGCTATAGAAAAGTGGCATTACTTTGCACACCATAAGATGATGAACAATTCACCTTCTTTCTCTCTCCTTGCATAATCTAAAAGCAGAACGATACATCTAGAAAGCTTGCCATCACCTAGCTTATTTCTTATCCAAACTATTAAAGCCCATGCACACATGTCGATATAGCCACCTTAATTCTCTTTAACAGAGCTCAATAACTAATGAAATTAACAGGGGAAAAAAAATGCACCAAAACCGAAAATGAAATCTATAACAAATAAAAAAGAAACCCCAAATAACCAAGCAAAATAAAAATCAACCAAAAAGCCTTTAAGAAGCAACAAAGCTTCTCTTTAAAAAGGAAAGAAAATTATTCACCTAAGAATTGATGAATCTCTGCATTAGCAAAGGCCAGAAAGGGTCTTTAAGATCACCTCATTCCAGACCATAAAATCAAAAAGAAAAAAATAAAATAAAACAAACCCAAAACCAATCCAAACTAGTTTAATTTAGAGAAACATACAAAATATATTCATAAATTCAACTCCTCATATAAGAGTTATAGCTTATACCATTAAGCACAACTCAGCACACCCCACTCACCTCCCTTACCCCTAACCATATATCCTTTCTCCTACCATCCTCTTTTTATCTGTGAAAGCAGCATTTTCAAGTGATACCTATTAGCACCATTCACGGCTGCAAGCTTGTAATCACACAGACATATATGTGTGGAGAAAAATCAGACAGTGCTCTTGACTTATTCTGTTCATGCTGTTCATAGACCTTAGATAACCTCCGGACAGCATAAGAGTAAATAAGGTTTTGGAGTCACTTTCCTGAGAAGAAAACATAGTTTTCATCATGCAGATACCTTGCTAATGAAATCACTTTATGCAGAATGTCAAAATCATTAAAGAAAACATAGATAAAGAGAACTAAACAGAAAACGAACTGTGAGGTTCATATTTGCTCAGATTCAGATTGCTTATTTGTGCAGTAAGCACTGACAGTATTGCTATCTACTAACTGCTTTTGAATTTCAAGTCTGATGAATGTTCTTCCTTAATTGCTGCTGGAAAGTGCTAAGAGTAATAGTGGTTTTGTTTTAGTGCTATGCAATAGTTTGGGAGCTTGGGGAGCTTGCCCTGCTCCTGAATGCTCATGTTGATAGTAACATGTTGATAGTAAGAGCAATGACTTCATTTTAAATCGTAGTAGGCCAGTATATTCTCTTTCATGCCTATAATTTTTCTGTGCAGTGTCTTCATGTCTATGTCATGTGTGTAAATATGATTAATCTGTTTCATGTTGTGCCTAGGACAGATATACCCATTCTCTGAATGTCTCTGCAATTGCCTGAAACTGGTTGCAGACAGTCGTGTGCCTGGCAGTTTGATAGCCAGGAAAACTCTGTCTTCAGTGCACAGCACATAAACTTGCAGATGCAGGTTTTATTGAAGGTGGCATAATTCAATAGTTCTAATGCTTGTCTTTAAATAAATGGCTAGAAGCATCAATAATCAAATATTTTCTTTTAGAATCTTATCTTTAAAGAGTTGTTAGGAGTAGGAAGCTGGATTAGAAGAAAACTGCAATGGTACATATAGTATAATGAGAGCAAAGTAATTAACTTTTCCTATTTGTATTGAAGGTTTTAACAGACCTAATAAAATAGTACACATTCACCTTTAGAAGAACTTAGATGTCTCACACTATCTTTTTTAGTTTACATGCCATTTATTGGTGACTGGCTAGAATGCCTGGTATATAGACTTTTTCAGTGGTCATTGTTCGCAGAGACAGATCAATTTAAATTATTCTTGCTTTCAGTGAGAAAACTGAATGATATCCTCTGTATCTGGTAATGTCTGAAGAAAGACTTATTTTTTTAGGAAATCTGACAGATATTTATGACATTCAAATGACATACAAAAAGATTATAAAAGTAACTATCCATCATAATATATTTCCCAGAGACACAGACCTCCATATCAAGCACAGTCCTTGTGACTTACTCATATCTGCTTTACTTTGTTTTATTCTATCTATTTCTAAGCTAAATACTGAAGTTGAATGGAAGACAAACTTGTAAATAGTAGCAGACAGGCCTTCTCAACTTATAAATGGTGCTTTAATAGCTCTGTATCAGTACGCTTGCAAATTGCTAGGGTTAAATATATTTGTTCATAGCAACAGTATAATTTACAGAAACCTGTATGGACATAGACAGGTAAGGGATTTTTTTTTTTTTTTTTTCAGTATGTAGTGGGAAACTTGTGCCATGCTAATGGAAAACAGCCCACTAATAGGAAGTTCCCAAATGAGGAGCATTGCAAGACAGAGATGAGCACGGTGAAAAGTATCATGATTCTCCAACAAATCCTGAAGAGTGAGTCTTGAACTGCCATAACCTATAAATCACTTCCTTGTTTCTTCCGTGTCTCAGCAGCTGAGCAGGTCACAGCTGATAAGACATTCTAGTCCCTGCATGATTCACTCTTCCTCCTGTTTCCTTGATTAACCCTTGATCTCTCAAGCAAGGAAAACCAGTGAGCACTGGTCATTTATGCAACATCTCATCAGTGTTAATTTTTGCATATCTGGTGTACCATGTGTAGTGTTATTAAATAAAGATTTGTCTGCAAAAGGAAAATGCACCAATTTATTTAAAATCCAATTGAAATCCAATTTATACTGTCATGAGACTTTGTATAAGCACTATTTCAATTTGACAGTGGTAGGTTAACTCCAGTATAAACTGACTCTAATCTTTGGAGACTAATTGATATAAAGCAGCATCCACATAGTTATTTGTATCAATTAGAAAACAATTAAAGGTAAACAGGGAAAAAATCTCTTAGAATTGGTACCTATCAGTTTGAATTTCATATTTGACTGAGTCTTGTCAGTAAAAAAATTGCCAATGCATAAAATCTGACAAAATAAATGGAGATGTGTAGTCTACAGATAGTTCACTGCCCAGAGGACAAGACCACTCACCACAACTTTAGCCATAAAAATAAAAGTTTTAATAACAGAAAGAGTAATCTGAGGATGGATGTGTCTGAGGAGTTGCGCAGTTATCAGCATGGAGATGAGGTCCTTGGCAATTCTATTTGACTTTATTTCCTCTGTACAGAAATTGCCAGCAGGTTGTGGATCAGCAATCTCATTATTGCAAAATCATGAATGTTCCTTCTCTCCTCATCCGTTGTTAGGGTGGATATATCACAGGTGCAATGTACCACAATATTTCTTTGCAGCACAACAAACCTGGGTGTCAAAAAAGAGAAACAAAGATGAGCAAAGGTTTCTTGTTAATTCTCTTAAATCTAGTCCAAAAAGGTCATAATTTAGAACTTTTTATGCATCGGTTATTTTTTTTCCTAGAAATATCACTCAAAAAAAAAAATTAGTCATTATCTCTCCCAAATGCCAAAATATCCGTTCTACAGCACTGACTCAATATTACATTCTAGAAACCACATAAATTTACCATTTTAGGGCCTGTGCTTTATTGGTAGTTTGTAAGAATTTGTCATATTTTATCCAGGTGAAAATACTGCATTATATATACTGTGCATATTTTGTTCTTTTACATGCAACACTGCCTTCAGTAAAGGAAGCAAATCCTTCTCTACACCTTTCTGCCATCATTTTTCCTGGAGCCATCAATGTTTATGTGCTGGCTGAACATTCACATCTCTGTTAATATTCCTGTTTCCTTGCCTCACACCACTCAGTAAGTAGATTTCTTTGGGAATATCGTATTCATGCAGATGGTGTCTGGTAGAGCAAAGCATTTGAGGGGCAGGATGAAACATGTTTCTTGTCACTGGAGTGATTAAGGAGCAAGCTACAAAAAATAAAGGAGAAAGTCGCTGTTACATATTTATTCCCCATTAAATTGCCCATGGCATTTTATATGCTTTTTAATCAGTTTTAGCCCCTGATATATTCAATATCAGGGTTAAATAACAGACATCTTGGAAGACTGTCTGACAGCTGGCATGGCCACAATCTATCTTACTTGACCTTACAACCCTTTTCTATTTTCAGGGTTGACTATACACTCTAAAAGCAGGCCACTGCATCAACAAAAGGGCCTACTTAATGCACCACCCATCTCTTCAGTCCCTTCCTGGGTTTCTCTGCAGGTCTGTGTGTCCCTAGACACATCCATCAGAAGGCCATTATGGACAAAGATCAGACAGACAGCTGCGTGGGAAGTGCCTCAGTGCTTCACCAGCGAGAAGACTGTTGGGACCCGTGTTCTCCAAAGAGCCATGCAGTGAGTCATATCTGCTGAGTATTCTTAGGATATTACAGTAATGACCATTACGCTACAGCTAAGAAAAAGAGAAAGAGTAAATATAATGGTGTAAGACTAAAATGATAAGGAGTGACAAGGAATCAACATGCTTTAGCAGGATCATAGCTTAGAGGCTGTGACTATCTATGCTTTACATGTTGCCAGACTCTAAATCTCACCTGATTCTTTCATCTCTCCAACCCCATGTGTGGTCTCTCACTCTTTCCAGTGTCACAAATTCCAAAGTTTCCTGGTTGGCAATCATATCTGTATTTTAGGTTTTCCATGATACTTCCTGCCTGAAAAGAGAAGGCAAGTCAAAATTGCATTGAGCTGATGAGAGAGGTAGAGGAAGAATGCTGGTTCGGGGCCTAAGTATGACTACTTTACTTCTAATCTTTAGGTGTCTTCTATCAAGCATCTTTTTTCTTCTTTTCTTCAAATGGTGCTTAACTTAAGCCTAACTGTCTATAATTATACCAGCTGAAGAGCTGGACAAGCTACATTCCAAATGATTTCCAAACAACTTAGTTTCACTGCAGTTTACTTAAATAGTCAGACCTATTTTGAGAGCACTGAGTAGTTATTTCTGCTACTGTATTTATGTCAAAAGTTTTTACAGTTCCAAATATAAGTTGAGTTTCCTAAGAGACCTAGACTTCAATAGCAAAATTTAGGAGAAACCAAAGATTTTATTTCCAAGATGAAGAGCAAATAACAGAACTAAATCTCATATCTTTTTTCAACTCAAGCATTTAGTGCTCTGTCATAGACAAAATAAAAACCAGAAGTTATGTCGTACATAACCAGATAGCCTAGCTCTCCACTACTTTATTCTTCATGCAGTCCTGAATTAAAACTAAATTTAAGACTGTTTATGAAGTGTTCCTTGATTCAGATTTTTAGGTGGCAATGATTAAACATACCAAGATGTTAATATGCAGCATTCACAATGTCATCAACTGCATTTTTGAACCATAAGATGGACACATGAAGCTGCATCTGCCTACCTTCTGTTCCAGGTGCAGGAAAGAAGTAACTACAGATTTCTTTAACAAAAAGCTAAGGAGACAAATATTTCCAGATTTGGCAGTTGAAAAGAAGAGACAATAAATTTTCTAGTTATGAGAATCCACCCAACAAAGTTGCTGCATTTTGGATAACTGACAGATTCTTTCCGCTAAGAGATTCTCAGTAAGTAGAAAATACCCCCCCAAATTAAAAAAAAAAATGAACCAACCAAACAAAACAAAAAAATTCCAACTTTGATTTTTTTTTTCTTCCATCCATAACAATAGTTGCAAAGTATTTGTTTCCCCAGATCTGCTTGAGGGAATTTGTCCTTATGTGAGAACTTAATATAACATAGTTATGTTAGTAATTAAGAGCATTTGCTATTTATAAAATAAAAAACTCCTTTAATAAAAAAATTATCCAGACCCAGTGCTGTCATATGATCAGATGAATGATAAAATATGCATGATCTCATTAATATGTACCCCACCATCCAAATTAACATTGAGGTTCCTGAACCCAGTCCTCCCTCTGACCTTCATGTGTCCTTGGCTCAGCCTCACCTTGCAAGGGCAGAATATAATTGGTAAGTATTTAAAAGCTTTTTCCAGCCTGAAATTTAGAGAAATTTGATGGTATATTGTAGTCATTCCTCTTCTGTCTCTGATAAGCAGTGGTAGAAGGATGTTGACATTTAAAACATTATCAATGAGTAGCTAAGCTGATGCTCACTGAGAAGGATGAGGAAAATTGTTCCTCAGAACATTTTTAGTTAAGGTTCCAAAAGTGCAAGCAGATGCCACTACATCTGTTACATTCTGTTCCCATGTTTGAGAGCATGTCTCCCACCACGTTAGCTGGAAATTTGATTCTGAGTCAAATACCAACAAACATAGATATTCCCCCTCAACTCCCAAGTCTTTATGAACTGGAGAACAAAGAAGTAACATTTAAAAGATACCAATATATTTTACAGCTTACTTGAAACATCTAAACTCTGCTTGTATTTACTATTAATATTGATGCATATGATGTAGAAGAAACTTATTTTTATAAATTTTGGGTAAATAGCTAAAAATGTGTTTGCTAAATACAATGTGAGACTAGAATCTAATGAAATATGTCTCTCCAATGTGAGAAACATATCCAATGTGAGAAACATATAGGACAAAATGCACTATTTGGTCTATACGGCCATTTTCACAAAGAGAATGGCGAAGGAAACAAGCTGTAAGTGACTAAGTAGGAAGCAGCATATTTTCATGATACTGCTTGCAATTATGGAATACTTATAGGTCATTCATAACAAAGAAATGTCATGTGTTTTTTGTTAGTCTTTTTATAAAAGTGATTAAATAATTTGCATATATGTATTTTTTTAGCATGTTGAATTAGTTTTCCTGGCTTTGAAATATTTCTATATATCTATTAATAGCATTGTTTTCAACATCACATGCTTAGAACATAGAGAATTAGAGTCTTAGGGTTGTGAATCATATTTTAAAAAAATATTCAAATCCTGTTGATGACTTTGATTTATCAAGGATGGTTGCACAAGTTACCTTTTTTTTACTTTTGTAGAATTTATATTACAGTAAATCCCAATGGAATTAACTGTTGAAGCCAATGGAATAAAATGAGCACAGTGTTTACAGACAGTTATTTAAGGGTCAAATATCAGGGAATCTGTTATGAAAGTCCCCAAGAAGCTCTGTTAGGAGTCAGTAGGACAGCCACATGTTAAGGGAGAGCCTTAGGAAAGGGATACTTACTTCATAGTTACACACTGAAAACTTTACCTGTTAAACTACCATTCAAATGGAGAAAGGCAGCTCCAGACATGCCTTAAAGGAAAGGTTCAGGAGAAATTACAGTCAGCACCAGCTTTCAGGATCAGGCTGCGGGTTCCAACCAGACAGAGCACCTATCTTGGAGAACCTTCTGAGCTTTTTAATTAGCTGGCTATAGGTAGCTTTCCATCCAACTGGTTCCTGCAGACAGCCCCCATTTGTCCTGCAACCTGATACATACCAAAAAGTCACTGAAGAGGGTAGCTGTCTCAAATCCTGAGACATTAAAGTTTTCCTTCACAAGACAATTATAGAAGTTCCAAAAATGCAAACAGATCCATGACTCAGAATTGAGTATGATTATGGATCTTTTCCAATGGACAATTTGGATGTGGCCATCCAGTTTGGAAGGCTAAGGCAATTTTATGTAATGAACATGTACTGTACTCTTCCAGTTGACTTCAATGCCACAGAGCTGTCCTGAGGTTGATTAAATTCCTAATTTAAAACATAGAAGGAGAATATATTGTATTTAGGGCTTACTGTGTTAATGCACAATGTCTAGTATTAGTTCTTATTTCAGACAGAATCAAGCCTTAATAAGGATCACTTGTGCATAAAGTCTCTGAAGGTTTTGCTTCAGAGAAGTCATACTAAGAGTTTATTGTGTTGCTTTCCCCATCCATTATAAGGGACATTTTTAATTGACTTGGCAACACAATTAAGCAAAAAATTCATGCCAGTGGGGGGTACAGCAATGTATTTTGTTTGGCTGGGGTATTTTTAAAAGCAATTCAAAGCAGAAAGTACTAAAATTCTCCTTTCTTTTTCATTAGGAAGAAAGGAACATTTTTTTTTAAATTTTCTTTGTTGTCATTAGTGACAATTCTGACCTTGAAGCCAATGTCTTCCATAAGCTGCTGCTAGTGATTTCTTTTCCCAGATCATGCAACCACTTCTTTAGACTGTACTTCTTTTTAATTGACTTGCTAATCTTTTCTCCAAAAGATTTTTTCCCCTTTTCTTCTCCATTTATTTTGAAATTTAGAGAAGGTAATTTCAACTTACTTCAGTCTGTTATAGATTCTGGAAATCTTCCAGAGGCAAATATAGGACTAAAGCAAACTGGCAAATTCAATTATTTTAAAGTTTTTCTTTAAGTTTAGACAATTTTGACAATAATGCTGAAAGGATGTTGCAAAATATCACAGTCTGGTCAGGAAACTGCAGTGTAATGTGTAGTGAATAAATAACACACCAAGTGACACTGATAAAAGAGTTCTGGGGAAAATAACATCCTCAAAGTGTTTTCAAATTGTCATACCCCAATTTCTGGTCCCACTTACATCAAACTAAGTCTGCAGTGGTTTCACTGACAACATCAAGATTCTTTATCTCATAAATAATTTTTTCATGAAATGTGAGCCTCACTGGAGTTATTTCAGCAAGAAATAGAGATAGCTCAAGCTTTAAGTGAAGGAAAAAAGCACAGGGATCATTATGTCTTCATTTCACCTAAATAGGGGGTGCATGACACTGACTGTTGGCCCATTTTCCTTTGCAACAACCATCAGCATTCCCTTGTCTGCATTTCTGGGCTTCTTTGTGAGAACCATATGAAGAGGAATGGGCTGAGGAAGTGGGCTGAGACATTTTGATATCCTCTGATACTGATATTGCTATATGTACTAGTACATACATTTATTTACTAGTGCTTTAGAACACGTAATTCACATTGTGTACATCATGCATGAAAATAAGAGGACTGGTGGATGAGACGCTCAACACAACCCTGCAATGTGGTCTTGCAGCCCAGAAAGTCAACTGTATCTTGGGCTATATCAAAAGAAATGTGACCAGCAAGGTAAGGGAAGTGATTCTCTCCTTGTATTCTGCTCTCCTGAAGTGATGTATGCAGCTCTGGAGTCTCCAGCATAAAGATATGAAACTGCTGGAGCAGGTGCAAAAGGCCACAAAGATGATCAGAGGGCTGGAGTGCTTCTTCTATGAAGGGAGGCTGGGAGAGCTGGGATTGTTCAGCCTGGTGAAAACTCCAGGGAAACCTTATAACATCATTCCAGTACCTAAAAGAAGCCTATAAGAGAGATGGAGAGGGACTTTTTACCAGGGCATGTAGTGATAAGACAAGGGTGAAAGACTCTGAGCTAAAAGGCATTACGTTTAGATAAGACATTGCAAAGAAATTCTTTACTACAAGAGTGGTGAGCTACTGTAACAAGTTGCTCAGAGAAGTGGTGGATGCCCCTTCCCTGGGCCTTTGAGCAGCCTGGTCTAGTGGAAGGTGTTACTGCCCATGCAGAGAGCTTGGAACTAGATGAACTTTAATATCCCTTCCAACTCCAAGTTTTCTGTGATTCTATGACTCTGCAATTCAAATCCTTAATTCTGAGGATGTAGCACTGATTACTATATTTTCTGCAACTTACGTCATTGTAGTTCTCCGTTATACTGTAGCTACACATTGTAGTTCTCCAGTGTAATACTTTTCAGCTTCATGAGCTGATATTTTGCAGCTGTAAAGCAGATGCAATGTTCTCCATCATCTAGCTGTTCACTGACACAACAGGTGTGTACAGATAGTCCATGTCTCTCCTCCTAGAAGGGAGACCAACTACCCTTCAAGATGTTCAAAGACTGTCTTATTGAGTACTATTTGGTATAATTACATAAAATGATATTTTAACAGACTTTCTGTGAAGGAAGTTAGGGTAGCATTCCAGTTTATCTGCATGCTTCCCAAAATATACTTTTTCTCTTACCTGTGACTTTTCTGTGAATTTCTTCAAGCACCACCTTCCAATGAAACAAAAGTCTAGGTGTCTTAAGAATTCTCTGTTCCTTAAGGCATGAATGTGCTCAACCTGGACATTTGTAAAGCCACGAAAATAGAAATAAACTGGTTTGCATTAATCCCAGGTGGAATGTTGTTTGTCATAAAAATAGAGTTTTGTCAAAGGTAAACCTTGAACCCACAAGACAAATTACTGAATATCCTTAACTATGTCATTACTTTGTAATAAACCTGATGTGATCATTCTTTAATCCCTTTCTTAAGGTGCACATAAAATACTCAGTCTGAGCTGGTGAGTTGTTTACTTATGCTTTGCAATAATAATAAATGAAGCTTCTTTTTTTTTTTGTTTGTCTCCTAAAAGGTTCCCTATCACTACACACTATACACTTTCCTTTCTTCTCAGAAGCTGAAGCAAGTGTTTGATTTACACTAGCTGAGGAAGCAATCCTAAGCCTAACACTTTTCAACGTATAGGATAAACCTGCCTTTATATTACTAAGAAACAAAAAACTCCAAATAGCATAAAGTGCAGATGGCAAAAAATGGTAGAGGCGACAATTTCTGTCTTTGAGGAAGGCAGCAAATATTTCCTTGCCTTGTCTCCTCATTGTTCACTATCTCCAAGTTCGTCGTCTGTTGTCTTTCACAGGGCATGAGCTTGGCAGAGTCCAAATGCCACACATCACTATTTTTGCCAGCAGGAGAACTCTTGCATTTCTGGGTGGATCTCTAGAAAAATTGCCTTTTATTATATTTTGATTCATCTGGCTCTGTGATGGAGTTCTGCTGCAATTGTTTGGACAGTTTTCAATGAAGATGGCATAAGGAATAAATGTTCACTAAATCCTTTGGGAGTGAAAAGAATGCATCTGCCTGTTAAATGTCTGAGAGTTTAATTCAAAAGAGTCAAATGATCTGCCCAAGAGTATGTGCCTTATTCCCAGAATTTAAAATATGCTGTCCCTTAGGTTACTCAGGTTATGTACTTACTTTTGCTTGTTGTTCACTCTTGACTGTCCACCATCCACATGAACACCTGAAGTAGGTGCAAAATGAGCTATTAGTTAATTTTCTCTTCCTGGTTAAGTGGCTTGGACAGCCTATGCATAGATTAGCCTTCCAATACCATTGGCATTCAGCTTGAGATGACTGAACTCATCTACACATTGCTAAGGGATCCTGTTGAATTATTTTGGGTGATTTCAGCTTTCACATGGCCATTTGATTAGCAAAAGTAGCACCAATACTTTCCTATTTGATTTGTGGCTTGGCATTTTAATAGAACAATGAGGCAAATCCTTGACTTATCCTTAACTGGCACAGCCCCTTTGATTTTAGAAAAATAATTGCAAAGTGAAAAGTTTTCCAACACTTACCCTACTTTGAAACTGCTTGTGTAGCTCCAAATTGCATTTTCTCAGTCTAACAGTATTCCAGTCTAATGGATTTGAAAATATAAGGACTATTCTAATGCTAAGCATATAACTAATTTTTCAAGATGTTGTTTTGGTTTTGTTTTGTTGGTGGTTTTGTTGGTTGTTAAGTGTTACAACTACTTCTTTTCAACTTCCTGCTGGAATGTGCACAATTAATAGTCTTGCCAGACATTTAGACCTAGAAAAAAATACCATTCTGTACTCAAAATAAAACACTGTTACCAGTGGCAACCTCATTGCCTATTTTAGCAGACAGACCAAGTGCCGAAGGAGCATTGGGACAAATCCACTCTCCTCAACATGGGACAGGATTCTTCTTTGTCAGGGCAATGTAAGAAGGATGCTCAAGCTATACTTGCTTTGTGCAAAATTTCAGAGCCACAGCTTCTAACGTGGGTTATTCTATAGTAAATTACTTTTAGAGCAAGTCAGAAATAACCAGAACAAAGCAGGATAATAGCAGCTGTCATCTGCTGCATGTCTCCAATGGGAACTAAATTCACTAAAATGAACTGTAAGACATTGTGGGGGTGGCTCTGTTCCTTTTCACCTGAGCCTGAATATCTGGCTTTATCCTTCAGCTGGGTTCAGGCAAATTAGCTCATTGAGGACAACAGCCATCTTGTTTTCAGACTACTGAGGGCAATTTAATTTAAAATTAAATCTTTTTGTTTAGTGAAAATTGCAGAGGCCATTCACTGCCAAAACAATTCTATGGGGACTAAAGGACTGGGAAATAGCTAAGAGTTACTAAGAAGTAGGCATTGTCCAGTAGAGATCTTTTTATTCCCAAATAGACTCTGACATCAATTCAGAAGAAGGAAATGCAGGACATCTTGAGTACAGCCCTTTGGGTTCACCCACATGTTAGCTCAGGAGACCAAACACCCTGGATGGAGATGCCTATGTTCATCCCATATGTGTTACTGCAATAGAAACAAGCAACAAGGAACAGAAACATGGAAAACAGCCTGACCGTGAGCTGAGACCCAGACTGTGATATCCCAAGGGATGGGACAGCAACCCTAGGATGGGGGCACAGCACCAGCAGCACGAGCAGCACGCTCTGAACTGGCCAGTAGCCAAACACTTGAGCAGGAGACTTTAGGTGTCAGGTACTGAGCATCATCTGAAGCCAAGAAGATAAAGCACTGCAGCTACAGCAGGGATCATAGGGACAGGAGCTGGAACAGCAGAGCAATGAGCCCTGGGAAGTCAGAGTCACCAAGGTTATCACACATCTGCCCAGCCCTGTCTGTCATGGACGTGGACTTTGCTGCTGGCACAGACAGCTGTGGGAAATTGTGCTTGGGCATAAGGGATTGAAGGCTCCTGGAGACCTGAAACTGCTGGAGCTGCTTCTCCCTCAACAACCACCCCAGGCACAGTAATCCTGAGTAGCCCCTCAGTAGCACACAGGATTTCAGCACCTGCTCATGCTGCATGCATCCAGGCAGAATTGCTTGATGATTTGTGCCATTATGCTCCTTCCATCTTGGTTTGACATGTGAGCCAAAATCTAGGCACAATTCCTGCAGCACATCATTCCATATATATTTTTTTCCTTTGCTTTTTACCACTGGAAAGAATGGCAAGTTTCTATTCAGCAGAATTTTGCATTATTGTTGCACTCTCCTTACAATTGTCTGTATTTATTGTTTGTATTTAATCTTTCCTCTGCTGTGTCTTAGAAACACATGATTGAGAGGTCATCATTTACTCAAGACAATGACAAAACATTTTATTGCATTTTATTTTAGAATTATAGTGAGGAAATGATACCTCAGTCCACAGGGTTTAGAAACTCATAAACCAAGGATTATTTAGAGCAGTAGTTGACATGGCAAATTATTTACCTCTGAAGGCTCCAGAATGGATGAGGAATTGTTTTTATCAGTTTACAGTAGGATGGCATCAATCAATGGGAAAAACTCACTTCATTGATGAGCAATTACTTAGCAGATCTTTTACTAAAAAACAAAAAGTTGCAGGGTAAGTGAGAAAAAATAATAGTAAATTTCTTCTCAGGAAGAAGCTTATTTGTGTTGTAAACATTTCAAGCCAAATAAAGCATAGATAGCATGCTGATGTAGACTTACCTGTCATGGGAATAGCTACCCTTGTCA